TAGTGGAAAAAACTTGAAAATAGGATTAAGATTAGTAAGCTTTTGGCAAAGAACTTTTGAATCTTGCTACATCCTTACCTTGCCCCAACACCTGCATCCCTAAGACCTTCACCCCCTTTTACGTCGGGTCAGTCTTGTTGAGTAATTTTGTACTCAGGGTTTGTTAACCCTTGTTGCAGGTGAATCGCATGCGCAGGCTTGTTTTGGTCTCTACTGCATGACAGTGTTTGAAGTCGATGACGATGAGGAATGATGAATGGCCTTTGAACAAGGCACTAGTTTGTGTGAAATAAATAATGTTAATGTAATATTATCCCGCTACTATGGTTGTATGACACTTATGGTTTTGTAAGTTTGAAACAACTGGTTTGTAATATTAAAACTTAAGTCTTCCGCTTTATAATCTCTGATATGTATATTGAAAACTGTTGTAATCTGCAATGTCTATGATTGGAATCCTGTTTGGAAAAGATTCGTGGATGATTTAGGTTTCCCGAGGACACCCGACAGATCTGTTAAGTTGTTGGGAACTCGTGTACGCTATCAGAGGTCTATTGAGACATCGATAGGTGCACATGGGTCCGATTTCTTAGGAGGTTCTACCACATTTGTACAGTAGACTTTTGGGGTCATATGTAGGATGTTGGAATTTTCTCAGAAATTACTGTGCACTTTAGATATATGTTCCTTATTTCACCTTAGTGTCCAAATAAATTAATAAATGCATTTAAATAATTTATTTGGGCTTGACCATTATGTTTTCTAAAGTGTATATGATGTCTATGAACTGTTGGTACTATTGGTTGTGCCCAAATTTGATTGCTTATATGCAATAAAATATTAATTGCTCTATAATTCAATTTTAATGACTATTTTGGGATAGTTTCTGTTGTTAAGTAAATTGTATGGGTAAAATGATGTTTGCTGTGAATCTTGTCAATAAAAAAGTTGTATATAACTTACTTATCTTGCTTGTGTCAAATTTTCATGGCAATAGGCTCAATGGGTTGAGAGTTATAGCTGTTGGAAGTTGGTCTCCAGAAATGCTTGTTCTCTGGAATTTCTGGACAGATTTGCGAAATTGCTTTGTTTGACCTTGACAGCCATTGAATAATCTTGTGATGACTATAAGAAAGTTGTAGGAAATTTTATGAGCTTTCCATAAAGTCCAAGATCATAGTATTTGGTTGAGTAGAACTCCAGATATGGCCAAATCAAGTAGCTGTTGTTTACAACAGAAAATGACTAAGTCAATTATAATTGTTTGTCTTATGTGATGCTTGTGTAGATGCTTAGGCTAATTGAGATTAGTTGTTAGCTGCAAGTTCTAGGCCTCTTACTGATGATGAACAACTTTACCTTATGTTACTAGAACTTAGTGAGTGTATGTTTCTTATACTATAGAAGAAATCAACTAGAAATAAATTATACATCTACTTGGCCAACGAATGTTAAACTTATCATACATCTTGCGGATAACCATGCTCATGTGTATACAATTTATCATATCATCTCGTCTCTTATGCATTCATGATACTCATTTGTGCATATGCATGCAATAGGTTCCTCGAAAGGAGTGACTCTACTCGAGTTCGAACCTGAGCATCAGGAGGAGCAACAAGCAGCCTAGGGGCAGGAGGTTCACGAGGAAGGAGTCAATGTGGAAGATCTTCTTGAGTGTCCTAACCACCAACCTTCCTTGTTCTTGAAAGGCAAACCCCGGAGCATTATAAGCCTCCTATGTTTTTACAAACATCACTTGTGTCCTTTATGTTTGATGCATTAGGTTACAAGAGTTGATTGGAAACACTTGCTGCATATATTTTCCTTGTCTAGACAAATATATCTTGAAACCTTTGTAGGTCCAGGATTGAATATATGCTTAGCTATGCTTAGTCCGGTAGAAGTCGGGTGATTTTCGGTCACCTGCAAGATATAGGTAGATATCTGATCACGGTTAGCTATAATTGCTATCGTGGAAATAACCATGTGTTGATGAATAAAAAGTAGATCGGGCGAGATTGTGATAGAGAAGCACAAGGCATGGAGGTCTTGGTTCCTATTTATCCCTGTCTGTGTCGGTTAAGGACCGATTCGTTGTACGTCCTCATGTCATGTTGAATGCATGCCTAGCACTTAGTTGGCCGGATAAGTCATTCTGACCATGAAGCCAAGTAGCTAAGTGAAAGTGCGCACACTGGAGGCAGTAAGGATGTGTGAGGAGCCAGTCGCGTGAGTCCAAGGCCAGGCCGGGCCTGAACTTCTTGGCAGACTGGTAGAATCTCTAAGGGTGTGGCACCGATTAGACCCACGACTGTACCTGAATTGTACCAAAGGTGACCTGATGCGGCCCCGATGGGGGAAGTATGGGTTTGTGTTAGGAATAACTCACCGGCTGGTTGGAATCGATTTGAGTTGTCATCTCTCCCGGATAGTGAGAACTTGACTGAGCAGCGGCAACATAGCATTAATTGATGGAACTTGATGGTTATGATGATGCTCAAATTGTTACACTAGATATGGTTACTAATGCTTGTTATCTTGATCAAGTGATTGCTCTAGTACAGGTGCTAATCTAGAGGTTCTTAATTGAATAGGTATTCAATTTGATGTTGAAGATATTAAATCTCCAAGTTATGTTACTTAAGCTTTTATGCAAAATGTTGTCAAGCTAGATCCACCGATAAAGCCTTGCATACTCCTTGGTGTCATATTATTTTTGGTATATGATGGGTAAGTCTAGCTGAGTACATTTTCATACTTAGGGTTTATTCCCTCTTATTGTAGATGACATGATGTATCATGGGTACTGTAAGAACTGCCTTCATCCTGCCATGGATGAGGACTCAACCTTGGGGCATGGTGCTCCTAAGATATCCTCTATGTTCTGCTTTTGCTAGAAATGACCATGGTACTGGCATGTATTTGAACTAAGTGTGATGTTGATGTCAAACTACTTTGCTTCCGCTATTTAAACTTGGTTTGTAATAACTATGTGAACTCCGATGTATGTGAGATACTTGTGAACTATTTGTGAACTATTTCCGAACTATGATGTAACATGTGACTTGTTATGTTGAATCATGTATAATCTTGGTTTGTATGTTAGTTAAGTTGAGATCTTTCATGATTTCATAGGACTACCGAGTTTATATGGGCTCAAGTATGATGGTTTGATTGCTTCGGTGATTGCTATTGTACTTGTGCTCTTATAAATTGGACGGTTCTGTTACAATTTCCACCCTGGAATAGGCAACGGCTGAAGTAATCTAGCAGATTTCAAATGAATGGCCTTGACTCTACTGCAATTATCACACATAGTGACATAGGCGGTGATCTCTTTCTTCATCTTGGTCCACCAAAAATGGGTTTGCAAATCTTGATACATTTTGCTACTACCCGGATGGATAGACAACTTGGATGAATGAGCTTCATCTAAAATTTGATTTCTAAGCTCACAGTCTTTCGGTACCACAAGTCGGTCCTCAAACCATAGCGCACCTCTTTCATCCAACCTAAAATGCTTGGTTTCCTGTTCTTTTATCTTTCTCTTAATGTGAAATACACCTACATCTATCTTCTGCAGTTCTATGATTTTGCTCTCAAGTGAGCAACTGACAGTGATAGTGCAGCACAACAAGATGTAACAAATTAAATCCATCTTCTAACAAGGCTTCCAAAGTGTTGTAATGAGATTTCTGACTAAGTGCATCTGCTATAACATTGGCTTTTTCTGGATGGTAGTGTACTTCCAAATTATAGTCCCTGATCAGCTCTAACCATCTTCGCTACCTCAAGTTCAGCTCAGGTTGAGTGAAGATATATTTGAGACTTTTGTGGTTAGTATATATGTGACATACGTTTCCCAACAAGTAATATCTCCATATCTTCAAAGCGTGGACAACTATGGCAAGCTCTAAATCATGTGTAGGATAGTTGACTTCATGCTTTCTTAATTGCCGAGAAGCATAGGCAATAACTCGACCTTCTTGCATGAGCACACACCGCAAACTTGTACCCGATGCATCATAGAATACATCGAAAGGCTATTCATTCACTACACCACAACACCAAGATTAGCGATGGATGGTTTGACGCTAAAAGCGGCTATAGCGACAGACAATCTGATGCTAAAAAGTTATAGCGACAGACTTCTACAGACACTGTAAGTCCTGCCGCTAAAAATCTTTAGCGTCAGACAATACTTTTAGCGACAGACAGTCTGCTGCCCTGAATATTTATAGCGACAGATAGTCCATTGTTACTTTTTAGAGAACAAATAGTCCATTGCTACTTTTTAGCGACGGACTGTGTGATGGTACATATGGTTTTAGCGATAGACTGTTCAACGAGACAATTTTAAATGGTTGAAAAAATAAAAATTAATCCATCAACAATTGTCCACAATAATACAAATGTCACTACACAACTAAGATTTAACTTCAACAAACATACATGCATCTTCATAAATTTGATCAAAACTTTACAACAGGTCACATAGATAAGCTCACCATCTCATCTATTTCCTCTAGAGACAATAAGAACATCCTTCGGAAAGCACAAATTATCATACAAGATTCCACTTGTTCCACCCATCACCCTTCGGATTGTTGCCCCAATTTCATTTATTGTTCCAGATGCATCATCCATAGGGTAACTGGAATAGAGAAAAAATGCACTAAAATTTGGTCATATTTTACATGAAAAAATGAATTATATCATAAAATTAGCTAACCCGATTATAATATCAGGAAAATGATACAGAAAAAGGCACTGGCTGGAAATGAAGTGTGATACAATGATAGAACTAATGAGAATCATGAGCATCATGTATATGATTTCCACTGGACAAGAACCAGCGTTATATACTAAAGCTAGTAAAACTAGGTGGGAGTTCATATATCATTTTTTTATCACATGTCAGCAGCACAATTATCATATTTCTAATCTACATTTCAAGAATAAAAAACTTCTTGCCAATGATTTGTAGTGCTTTTAACTTACTGCTTTTTCATATCTTCAAGAATAGTTGTTGCACCTCTACACATCTGAAAAGAATAGCAGTGAATTTCTCAATCCTAAAATAGGAGTAGTCAAATAAGCATTGAATTGAATTGGTAAACACAATTTAACTCACTGTGGTTCCACAGTCACCATCGCCCACTTTACTGTCCCATTCATTTAGGCTATCCTTGAGATTGATAATTGCAGTAGCACTTGCTTCAATAGCAGCCTCCAGGATACACCCTTGCTTGCTCAGCTCCTGAGATGGAGCAAAAATATGCAGAAGAATAACAAATCATGATAACTGAGGGACTGCAAATGCATATGCCAGTGTGATAAAAGACAAAAAAAAAATCCAGAACAGTCTCAAAAATTTTGTGAAAAGGGACAATGATAACAGAGCCCACGGTTTTCCCATTCTCTGTATCTGGCATTGAGAAATTGAGACGAAGAAATACCACATAACAGCTTGAAATAAAAAAGTTACACCCATAACCCCTACAGAACCAGCAAACAACTACTTGCACTTCTTGCACGCTTCCACATTAGATCAAAGGTGAACTGACAGCCTCAGAAAACAGATCGCAAAAATCCAAATAGGGAATTTGTTTTACCTCGTCATCCTTAATTGAAGGTGATGGTGGTAGAGGAACAGGAAACTTTGCTGGTGGACGGTTTCCTACAGTCAAGTGATCAACACTAAGTTTAGAAAATTGATTCACAATTGAAAGGTTCTGATAGAGCTTAAAATATTTTTCCCCATGTTGAAAACATGATTCGGAAGTTTTGATAGCAGTCTATGTGTCTCAATAAATTCCCATTTATCTGAACAACCTACACTTGATATAGCCTTGAATCAATGTTCGCACAACACAGATCGTAAGTGAGTCTTTAGTATGTACTAAGAAAAGGAAATGTGTGGCAAGTGAGATGATGGTAGAAGGGGAAAAATAATGAAAGGAAGATAACAGTATAGGTCCAATTTATACACTAGAAATAAAGTGACTACAACATTGTTCTAAAATGTGACCATCCCACCCACCCACCTAGCCTTCACCTAGGTCTGAGCTAAATCCTTCCTCCTAGCACCTAATCATCCAATTAGCCACTCGCACCAATCAACCACCCGCTTAGCACTGATTAGCCACTAGTCATGGAGCCCACCGAACACCTAGCACCTTTTAGAGCGCTTCAGAGCAATGTTAGAGAACACTAGCTAAAGGCACTCCCTCCATTCCAAATAATAAGTCAGTCTGGCTTTTCTAGATACATAGCTTCAGTGGGAGCAGGCCAAATTAACTCACCTTCAGAACCAACAGGCCAAGCTAGAGCTTTAGTGGGAGCATCAAGTCTCTTCAAAATGCTATCATCAGACTTCATAATGGTAATAGATAATCCTACAAAGGGAAAGAGTCTAAAACAATATTGCCTGCCTACCAGGTTACTTAGGAAGCTGAGTCAACGTAAAATGCTGACATTTGCATTGTGATTAGATAAACAATTCCACTTAAGTCAACTGCTCGTATATTAGATGATTATGAATAATATATAAAACATTTTCGTTTGTGAGCATGACGGTTGGAGCAAAGCAGTTATCTTGACCAGTGAATGACTTATGAGGTTTGGTAAAATCATGTTAACTGAATGTAGAGATGACAAAGCTCATCCACATCATCATTTCGAGGAATCACGCAAAAAACTGACCTGCCATATCAAGAGATGTCATAAGTGTGCCAGTGTACACTCTGTCTACAGCAATGCCATACACCAATTGCAACTCAGGAACTGCTTTTCTCGCTGCGATCATAAGTTCCATGATAGGAGTGGCTCCTAATCTGCACATTAGAGATGGGGTTAAAGAACAAAGTTACAAAAAAGTACTCAATTTAGAACAAAGTGGGGAGAAAGGAAATAACTACAGTTAAAAAGTAAATAAGTAATGTACACTTTCAAAGAGATCATCAGAAAAAGTGAATTTTAATCTAAGTATGATTTATATGGATAGACAATATTATAACCACGCTGCCATAAGCTCTCAATCCTCTCATATATAGCGTTAAATACATTTTGTAACAAGTAATAAGCAGAAGTAATTAATGTAGTAGGCAGGCCAAAGTTAAATTTGAAAAAAGAAAAAATGTTTCTAATGCTATGTCTGACTCAATCCTGTGAGCCCTTCCAGCTATTCCAAGTCTCTGGCCTATCCAAACCACGTAATGAAGTGCTATAGAGATGTTAATAAGTAATCTTTCAGGAACTCAAAATGGATGCCCCCTACCCCGGCCACCATCAGCAAACAAAGAAATTATCCATAAAACCATACTGCCATAGAAAGTCCCTTTTTTACAAAATGCAGTTATTGAGAGTGTGAGACAGATAAAGTCGTATAATGTTCCACTAAGGAAAACCATCCTAGGAGAGGATTAGTCCTCGTTCCTTGTAATACGCATTCAACCCCCATTCTCATCCTTACCTCTCCTGTAATCTAGGCTTGTCTTAATAAAAACATGCTGCTTTTTTGGTAAACGGGAAAAAAGGATATGTCTAGAACAGAAAGGAGAACCTCAAAGCTGAGACAAACTATAGTTTTTGCCTTTTCTAAATAATTAATTGACACTACACATAGTTCAGCATTAGACTTCACAAATTATGCAAAATAGGGTTTGAATTAAACAGAGAAATATGACCAGAAAATGTAGTGATATGTGTGGCTGCGGAGTGGGAAACAAAATAAATTTTGCATTATGTTCAACAAATACAAATAGGATTAAACAAACATTGCAAATCAAAAACTTACCTGTGACAATATCTGCTTAAGAACATGTTCTACCACTACATCAACTGACTGGAGTTCAATAACAGCAATGCCAGGTTCTCCATGCTGGAAACAAATAGATGTTTTAATTTCATATTTATCAATCTCAGAAATGTGGAAAACAAACATTAATGCACAAAACCTTACAACTACACCTAAGTATGCTAATTGTTTAGTTATACAAGCATAATAACAAAAGCTTAGTAAGATGAGAGCTGTGCAATGCTTCACAATTTACACTTATAAAATTGAACAAAATGGAGCACTGCAGTTTAAAAATAATGGAGAAAAGTATAATGGAGAAAAGTAACAGTATCCCTACATCAAGCATACACATTTATCCAAAACATCCCACAGTTTGGCCCCTTTCAAAGCAAATACAGATGTACCACAGACTTCATATTGAACTAAAAATTGATATGTCCCAAGCAAATTTCAAAAAAGCAAATGTTATCCCTCCTCTATATCCATTCATGCATGAACACAAGACGATAGGTGGAGGAAATGGTAGTTATTGATGTGGTAATAAATAAACAATGCATGGTCCCAAAGCATCAGATACTCATATTGCACAATCCTCAAGTGAGAGTACCTTTACTATTAGAAGGCACCCCAGGGGACCAGTTACAGCTCGAATAGCCTACAGTGAGAAGATGTAGTTAAATGTCAGCTAAGATGATTTATGCTACTTAAGAAGCTAGACATTGTTTTACTAAAAAGAAACATACAGCTAAAATAGAATCAATAGGTGGAGAAGCGAAAACATCTCCAGAAACAGCAGCGGTCAACATCCCTGGCCCAACAAATCCAGCATGGGCAGGTTCATGGCCGCTTCCACCACCTATGAACAAAACGGTGCTAGAATAAGTAATTGAACTTGATATGAAAAAATGGAAATATCCCAACAACCATCAGCCATGAAAGTTACCAATGAAGATATTTTTTCATGAAGAAGTTCCTATTTGACATTTCTTAAAGATGGAAAAGAAACAGTATGGCCATATGCTTATATATACTATTAGTTCAAACAGGGAAACACAACAAGCGTATGAGAGATTATATACATGGATTTCTGTATGATGATGCCATGGTATGCAAGAGGTCCATGCAATACACCATCATCCATTCATCTTCCAGCAGTAATGTCTCCAAAGCAGAGTACAACATGGTACTAATTGTAAAAGGATATCTCTTTTTTCATAGTAGTATACGAAAAGTGATTGATGGCATAAGATGATAGAGGTGGGTCATTCAATCGACATATCTTTCTTTTCTCAAATGGAGACATTGGTTGCATAGTGATATGTGTAGCTCCTTACAAATCACTTAAAAACTTCTCTTCTGAAAGTGTTACTAGTAGAAAAAATAAATTAATGCAGCAATATCCCTTCTCTATATGGATGAATCTCTTTTTGTCATGATTAGTAGAAGAAATGGGACCACAAATAGTTAAGGTCAGTGCTCACATCAGCTGAAAAAGCTAAATAGAAGTTCATACATATGACAACAGCTATATATATGAAAAAAATATTCATTAGTGAGAGCCCACAACCGTTGGCAAGGCTAAATAAAAGTTCATACATGGTGGTAGGCTTAGAACCACATATGACAAGGCTCTCAAGTACTCTGTCTGTCCCAATCCAAAAGACAGAGAACCTAATATATTTATGAAAGTCGGGATGGTACATATTGGAAATATTTGGGATAAATATAGCATGCACCACCACTATACTATTTTGCTAAGCTATAAGAGGTATAAACATACATCGCTAATTAAATATGGAAAATATATTTCCAGAAGAATGATGAGAGTATAGGAAAAACAATTTAGACCATGGTTGTCTTCTAAAAATTAGAATAATACCATAGTCATTCATCGGTGCTTACTTCCTGCATTTAAAATTTGAGGTACTTGGTGCTTGCCATTGTAGCTTGCTCGTTTACTGTTGCCTCCCTGGTTGGTCGGTGCCTCAGCCTTAGCTGTCCTGCACTACACAAAGGGGAAAGGGCCGAATCTAAGTGGGCGCATGAGGTCAATGTAAGTGGGCGCGTGAGCAAGGTGGGGCCCTTTTTTTAGCGACAGACGGATTGATGATATACCTGTTTTCAGCGACAGATAGTTCAACGTTAAAGATGATTACCTATAGCGACAGACAGTTAATCTCTAAATGGAGAATTAGCATCAAATTGTCTGTGAGTTATCTTTAGCGTCAGATCATCCATCGATAAAAAAAAGTTTTAGCGTCAGATGTCTGACGGTGATATGGTGTTGTGGTGTAGTGATTGTCGGGTTGTGCTAAAACTGGAGCTGTAGTTAACAAGGTCCTTAGGGTGTGAAAAGCGGCTTCACACTCTAGCATACAACTTAACTTTTCATCCTTCTGAAGTAGTCTGGTCATGGGCTTAGTTATCTTGGGAAAATCAGGAATGAAACGACGATAGTAACCTGCTAGCCCTAGAAAACTCTAAACTTCATGAACCAAAGTTGGGGCCTTCCAATCCATGACCTCTTGTACTTTAGATGGGTCTATAGAAATTCCATCTTTAGATGAGATGTGACCAAAGAAAGGTACTTTGCTCAACCAAAATTCACACTTGCTGAATTTGGCATATAACTTGCGCTCCCTCAATCTGGACAAAACAACTCTCATATGCTCTGCATGATCTGCCTCATTCTCCGAGTAAATCAAGATATCATCGATAAACACAAACACGAACTTGTCAAGCTTCGGCATGAATACCAAATTCATCAAGTACATGAAGTACGCAGGAGCATTTGTGAGTCCAAAAGACATGACCAAATACTCATACAAGCCATACCGAGTGGAAAAAGCTGTTTTAGGTACATCCTCTGGCCTTATCTTAATGTGATGATAGCTTAACCTCAAGTTAATCTTAGAGAATAGCTTTGCTTTTGCCAACTGATCAAACAAGATATCGATACGAGGCAAAGGACACTTGTTCTTAATGGTCACAGCAATAAGCGGCCTATAATCCACACACAATCTCAAGGCCTTGTCCTTCTTCTTTACAAATAAAGTTGGACATCCCCATGGAGACGAACTAGGTCGAATGAGACCTTTGTCCAATAGTTCTTGTAACTGAATTTTAAGTTCAGCTAACTCACTTGGTGGCATCCGATAGGGTCTTCTTGAGATAGGTGCCGTACTTGGCACTAACTCAATCTTAAATTCCACATCCCTATCAGGCGGTAAACCCGACAATTCATCTGGAAATACATTAGGAAACTCACAAACTACTAAAATATCACATAGGGTACTGGCTTGGATAGCACAAGACAAGTTTTGGAGATCAAGACTTCTAGGAAGTGGCACTAGAAAAGCACTACCTCCCTTTGGTTCTCTCAACATAATTGTCCTAGTGGATGTGTCAATGAGAACTCCATGGTCACTCATCCAACTCATGCCTAAGATCACATCTTTGGCTAATCCGGGCAATACTATCAGATCCATTGTGTACTCCCTCTCTTGTATAGAGATGAGCACAACTCTAACTATTTGATTTGTAGAGATAGTAGCCCCAGCTGAACTTATACTATAACCACCCTTGTTTACCACAATTATTTTTTGATCATACTCAGATGCAAATGCTTGGCTCATAAATGAATGAGAAGCTCCAGAATCAAATAAAACAATGGCGGGATGTTTGTTAACAAGAAACATACTGGCGGTGATAACTTCTCCCACAGGAACTTCTTCAATAGCTATGTAATGCACGTATCCAAGACGTGCTTTAGGATTGGCCTATTTCTGATTACCCTAGTTTTGATTGCCATTCTTCTTGGGATGGGGGCACTCCTTGACCCAATGGCTTATAGTTGAAGCATGGCTAATTGCTCCTTAGTCCTGCTCAGCTTCCTTGCCCTCCATTTCCCTTGGGTAGGGCAATGGTGAATGCCATGCGGAATGTCTTCTAGGGGCAATTGGCCTGAGATTTTGGTGGAGGAGGCCTAAACTTAGGCGCTGGTGGATGAAACTATGGCCTAGTCACAACTAGGGCTCTAGACTAGGAAGATCCTGAGGCGCCTGCCTCAGCTGCTCTTTTGCAGCCCTTCGCTACTGCGTGCAAATTGTTCTGGTTCTCCTTGGTCAAGGCATCACTGATGAACTCATTGTATGTGGTACACCTCGAGTTGGCCATGGTCTTTCATTAGCTTACTGCAAAGGCCTCTCTTAAAGCTTGTTATCTTCTTTTCCTCCGTATCGATGAACCCTAGGGTGTATCAGTACAAATTGTTGAAGGTATGCATGTACTCGGTAAGGGTCTTGGTCCCTTGTGTGAGTCGCATGAACTCGGCTGCTTTAATGTGCATTAGCCCTAGGGGAATGTGATGACCCCTAAAGGCTAACTTTAACTGCTCCCATGTGACCTGTGAGTTGTCAGGTAAAGAGGACAAGAAATGGGTCCACCATATCCTGGCCGGTCCCTGTAGTTGATGGGATGCATATTCAGCCTTCTGATGCTTAGTAACCCTCAACAGACAGAACTTCTGCTCTATCGTGTTAAGCCATTCATCTGCCTAGAGCGGTTCTTTGGCCTCTTTGAAGATAGGAGGTTTGGTGTCTTGGAAATCCTTGAAAGAGCTGTATTGATTTGGCTTAGGCCCTTGATGTTGCTGACGGGTGTGAGTGGTGTTCTGTGCAATGAGGCATAGTGTATCTCTAATTACCCTAGAACTATGCAAAGAATTCATTCGCAGATGGTGACAGTGGTGGTGGTAAGTCACCGTCGTTGCCACCTTGGCTGGTGCCTGCCCTAGCGCGAGTGTGAGTCATCTACAAAGTTAAAACAATAAGTGATTATTGGATGATGTCAGGAGATTGCAGATGAATTGCGTAATCATGCCAAACTAAAATTACTAGAGAGAATCTTAAACTCATACAATAAAACAGAGGCATAATAATTCATTCTCGCAACATGACATCCCAATTTGATCACTTATTGTGCTCACAACACGTTAATATGTATGTCATATTTCATCTATAAAATGAAACTAAAATTTCATTAAAGTTCAACCTATAGTGAAACTACATGCAAAGTGCCAATATTACACCGAAGTCAAATCGTGAATACCGAAGTTCAAGCTACAAGTCCATTACATGAATAACAGGTTTACATCTAGCGCTTTAACTAGTCACTAGGCAATTCTAATCTTTAGCGTGCTCGTTGTCGAGGTCAGAGATAGCATCGTTCTCATCCTCTAGCTTCACTTCTTCTTCCTCCCAACCGTCATCTTTGACCATCATTTCTGGATCTTCTTCTTCCTCATTAAGGATTGGGTGTAGTTGGTTGTTCAGAAAATGCACCTCATGCTAAAGATCAACCACCATGTTTTGGGTCTGTGCAAGCTGCTGGCACAAGTCCCACTTGACATGGTCCTACTGCACGGTTAGGGCTTTAGCTCTATTTCATGCTACTTCTGCCAGGGCTACATGATTGTTTGCTTGGATCCGCTGGCACGTAGCTATGAGCGCCTCGGCACGAGCAACCTCCAGCTGCTCCTATAGTCGTGCTAGCACTACCTGATCATCTGCTTTTGCCTCTTGGGTGGTAGCTCTCTGCTGATCAACTTGCTCCATTTGGGTGTGGAGATTTCCAAATGCTACATATGCCTGATCAGTTTCCCATTAAGCCTCACTTGCTGCCTTTTTGTGCTTGCGCACACGCTTCCTTAGCTTACGTTGTGCAGCTTCAACTCTCATGAGCCTATCCATGCAAGTGGTATAGGACTCTTGCTAGGAGTCCCTGGTGTCCTCATGAGTATAGAACA